CTTTATAAAGCGTTTTGAAACAGTTACATTTTTTCTGACCTACGGAACGGATTAATTTGTTTTCAATGCATTCCTATGGGAAACCGCGTTTTAGTTTACAAATTTTTCGCAATACGAAAAGTCCCTCAGAACACATTAAATTCATAAACCAAGGTACGCATGTACAGTAAATCCCCTAAAAGTGCTGAAGCTGATCTGTGTTAGCGTGGTCAGTTTACATCCTATGGCTGGTAATTCAGTGGTACAGGACACTATGCAGACACACAGCATGATTGTTTTGGGTAGTTTATTCAATCATAACACCCCTGACCATTCGCAGTTTGCCTCTTAACACACACCCCCTCCCTATCACAGCCTGCTTCTTGAACTTTTCTCAGGCTGAACAGATTATAGCATATGGTGTGTCTGCACAGTGTCTTGTAACCCCTCCCCCCACTATCAGGAAGAAGAGATGCATGGTCACATGACAGAACTTTTTAACCTTGTAAAAAAAAAAAAAAAGTAAGAATGATCATTTCTGAAACTAAGTAAAATCAGTTATGGTACCTGCATAGTTAAAACGGTATTAGAAAGTTTATATTAAATTGTATATTCACAACTACTTTAAAATCACTGGGTCGCCTTGACAACCAAGCAACTAGGCAATGGCACCATTTGTACTTCTCTAATAGCAGTTTTACTTTAAAGCTGAACTATGTAGTAAGAAAATAATATCTAAATACAAGAGTCATGTGTATTCTTCTTGAATCTTGGAGTCCTTTGTATATATCTTCCAGATTTGTGCAGCAATCCAGTGTGAAACTTTTCCTATAATAAAGACCTCTTACTGCTGCTCTATCTTCATGTGCAAGGTGGCTGGTCTTGGCTCCGCCCCTCCTGTAATTTTCTGCAGACAGCCTGTAGTGGGTGGAGCCTGCTGAATCCCTCCCATAACTCTTTGCACAGGTTATGTACTGTCAGGGCAGGGGCCGGGGAACGGACAGGCAGGCCTAACAATGTAACGCACTGGCTGACGACAACCACCACCCACAGACCGAAGTCCCTCAGGACGTGGAGTCTAAGTACCAGGCTGCCCTTCACCAGGGCCCCTGATGGTGGGGATGGACTTGACGCAGCCCGGAACCAGGTCGCGGCCCCGAGACACCTCAGCTGCGGTAATGGCCGCCGCCAATGGCGTGTAGCTGGCGGAAGAGACAAAAGAGTAGTCAGACAGGACGGGTCAACAACAACAGGACAAAACAGTACAGGACAGCAGACGAGAATCACAGGTCACGAGCCGGGTTCATCAACAGAGGGTCAGATCAAAGGAGAACGCAAAGAATAGTCGAGTCACAAGCCGAATCAGATACCAGGATAGTCACGAGAGTCAGAACAGAGTAATAGCAACACAAAGACACAAGACACAAGTGCAAAAAGCATGTGCGGACCACAGGCTTAAATGTCATCAGCCACACCCCTCTGGGGGATGGACCTCAGAGACCTGAAGGCATAAAAGGATTCCCACCATGCACAGCAGAAATCCAAGATGGACGCCAGCACACGGAGTAACATAACCTCATGGAAAAGGTAGGACCTTGACATGTACATCATGGTGATGATGTCACTGCACATTTTACAAGATAATATCTAAATTTGCAAAAGATTTGCCGCCCACAAGAGGATTTCTATCTTTTGTTGCTACTAAGAATTTAATTCAAATTAGAACTTTCTTCTTTAAAGTATGCACAAGTAATGCTCAAGTTTTGTATTTTAGAACAGATAATACAGAGTAAAACAAATATTCCAAGGAAAGAAATAATCTTTGTTATAGATAACAGCTTTGAACAAGTCTGTAAAATAACCTTTGGATATTTTCATGGCAAAAAAAGTAAAAAGTCTGGGGGAGAAAAGAATGAACAAAAGCGTTTCAATTAGATGGGCCAATCTGTCATTTGCGCAGTGTGTAGGCCAGTGCCCACAGTCCAAGAAAGCTTCATAGCAACAAAGGATCCATTGATCAAACATTATTTTATTCTAGTTAGCAACTTTTGTTTAGGCTTGAAATGTTGCAGAGGAACTTACTGTAAGCGTAATAATTGCGCCAGCAAACTTCAAAGTGCTGTCCCTTCCAGCAAGGAGAAAACAGGGCAGTGCCAGTCCTTCTAGGACAAGCTGAGGACAACACGGTGCTGAAACAAGTCAGAGATGATCAGGGCTGCTGTTAGAAATCACAAGGCCCCGTACAACGCACCTGACAGGCCCCCCCCACAAAAAAAATATCAAATTATATTTTTGGTAAAATGCCATGGCTGCAATGCTATGATTTGCCATGGCAGAAATGATACCCCCATCAAACAAGACCCATTCAAGTGACTAGCGCTGCTCTGCAAGCACCCTGCAACCTGTTAAAGCAAGCGGTGAGGAGGCAATATGCTCCTCACTGCCTGTCAAATGCTAAACCTGTCTAAACAGATCCCTGATGTCTCACATTTGAGACAGAGAAAGGAATGAGGATGTAGATTCATCAAGTCCTTCTTCTCTGTGACCTCAGCTGCACAGATTAATGAATAGGAAGCACTCTGAGGCTTCCTGTTCATTCACAAACTGAAGCATAGAAAACACAATTTCCTATGCTTCAGTGATGAATGGACATAGGATTGGTCCTATGTACTCACTGTGTTCATTCAGGAAAGGATGGGGCTAGTAAATAAGACATATTCTCTCCCCCCCCACACACCCCATGCATTCTGAAACAATCCCCCTGTATGCCCACAGCAGCTGCCAGTGGTATAGGAGAGGAGCGAAGCTGGCAGTGCTGCAGTAAGAAAGACGCATACAGGGGGGCCTGAACAGCAGGTGAAAGGGGGTGCAGATACTAGAACTGATCCACCTGCAGTGCAGCCAGAAAGAGGAGTAAAAAACGGCAGCACTGCAGGGGAAGGGGGGCACACGGGGGGGCCCGGACAGCAGGTGGAGGGAGCACAGATACTAGAACTGATCCCCCTGCAGTGCAGCCAGAGGGAGAAGGAGGCATAGAAGCCAGCAGTGCTGCTGAGGGATCCACACGAGATACAGCAATAAGGAAGTACGTCCGTCCCTCCTGCTTGGGAGGTGCCCGGACCCCCATTTTGAACTGATGGGGCCCTGGCCCAGTACAAGAGGGCTGGCTTTATTACCACCCTGGAGGTGATCATAGTGTAGTCTATTTTCTGTGAGTGCATATGTTAGGTTATTACTGTTTTACCCCCATTAATTTGTTATATGATTTATTAAATCGGAACCATGAGCATTAAAGCTGAACTCCAGCCTCACCTCCTGTCTTGCATAGTTATCCTCTCTTGTACTGAAATTGCTTAGTCTTGATTTCACAGCACACTGTGAGCTTCTTAAGGTGTGCATTAGAAGCTGCAGCAAGTCAGACAGAGCCTGCCTCATTTCCTGGCTAGAAAGCGTCCAGCATTATTTTCATCAACTGGATTTAGTTTTTGTCAATCATGGAGGCTCAGCATCATCTGTAGACATTATCTAGGGTGCAAATAATCAATAGAGAAGATAGGACTTTCAGGGTGCATAGACATGGATACCATAAATTAAAAGTTATATAATTTTTATTTCGTATTTAGTAAAACACAAGAAAGGAAAAAAATACAAAAACATAAAAACAATTTAAATTCTAAGAATACCAACTGAGAATCAAACTTGGTTAGGTAAATGTAGTATACTTCCTATATGTTTCGCCCTCACAAGCTTCTTCAGGGGAGATTTTTTGAGGAAATTTCTACCGTCAAGGCAGTCCTGGATGTGAAATCTCACAGAGCTAGAAGAAAATGGCCTAAAAAATTCTTAATTGGCCTACACGTCCAAAACAGTTGTAGAGGATATAATGGGCATCAGATATCATCTGTTAAATATTGCAATTCAAGTAGCAAGGAAAATGTAGGGAAAAAGGATTAGCAGAAATCACCAGTGCACACTGAGTATCTTGGAGGCTGTATTGGATCTGAACGGAGCTAATATCGTCTGGACTTTTGTCCTTTGCTGATATCTGGTGGTGGAATTGAAAATTGATCCTCAATTAAAATCCTTTTTCCCTACATTTTCCTTGCTACTTGAATTGCAGTATTTAACAGATAATATCTGATGCCCATTATATCCTCTACAACTGTTTTGGACGTGTAGGCCAATTAAGATTTTTTAGGTCATTTTCTTCTAGCTCTGTGAGCTTTCACATCCAGGACTGCCTTTCCTCAAACAATCTTCCCTGAAGAAGCCCGTGAGGGCGAAACATGTAGGGAGTATACTACATTTACCTAACCAAGTTTGAATCTCAGTTGGTATTCTTAGAATTTAAATTGTTTTTATGTTTTTGTATTTTTTCCTTTCTTGTGTTTTACCAAATATGAAATAAAAATTATATAACTTTTAATGTGTGGTATTCATGTCTATGCACCCTGAAAGTCCCATCTTTTCTAATGATAATTTGCAATTTTAAGGCATGTGGTGCAATCATATCTGGTCACTCGCTCGCCACTTCACTGTTTTATTATTTAGGGTGGACTGCATTAAAAAATGTCTTGCCTAGAATGCCCACTCCTTCAGCCTGACATCCACTCTCAAGGCATTTTGATATTTACATAACGCCTCCCAAGAGCCAGCCCACCACTTGTATCAGGGTTGAGGGCTTTTGGGAGGAGTACCGGGGCAAGGTGCTGTGATGTTTTCAGGAAGCTATGTATAGCACCATGTCAACCCCTCCAACCAGCTATTATCTGCCTGCATTGCACAAAGAAGCACAGAGACCACGTGAAAAAAATATTTTTTTCAATGGAAATGTTTAAAAAAAAATTTAGCATGCCAATGGGGAAAAGGAGGCAGGCAAGATTAAACTTCAGCTTTTAAAATTACATATATGATGCAGTCTGTCAATAGCAACCACTCCGCCCCCCATAACATGTTTTATGACCTGCATCACTAAATCTATTTTTTCTACTTACCATATTTTTTGCTCCATAAGACGCACCTGACCATAAGACGCACCTAGGTTTTAGAGGAGGAAAACAAGAAAAAAATATTCTGAACCAATGGACTGCAGACACAGTACATGTGATGATCAGAGACTGCGGACATACTACAGTACCAGAGATGACATACTACAGGAGATGACCAGAGACTGTGGCACATATACATGAGATTACAGAGACTGGACACAGATGACCAGAGACTGCGGACACAGTACTGACTGTGGATACTAGTACAGGAGATGATCAGAGACTGCTGACATACTACAGGAGATGACCAGAGACTGCGGGACATACTACAGGAGCTGACCAGAGACTGCCAACATACTACAGGAGATGACCTGAGACTGCAGACATAGTATAGGAGATGAACAGAGACTGCAGACATAGTACAGGAGATGACCAGAGACTGCAGACTTAGTATAGGAGATGACCAGAGACTGCAGACATAGTACAGGAGATGACCAGAGACTACAGACCATTGGGGAGGGGGGCGGGTACCCGAATTTGACAGGCACCCGCTTCACTTCCGTGGACTTGTCCTCCCTGTAGTCTTATGGGACATGTGATAGGTCCCAGAAGACTACAGATGGCCATTCACAAAGCGCAGCGCTTCTCTCGCATGCGCAGTGGACACCCGGTTGTGAAGCCGCAAGCTGTCACAGCCGGTGCCCACACTGAAGATACCAGCACCGGGGAGAGAAGATGGCCGGTGAACGCAAGACACCTCTGGACCGAGGAACAGAAGGACCGAGGAGCAGGTTCTTCTGCACAGTAGAGCCGAGTGGTCTGCCCGATCTTCTAACACGATAGCTGAGGGAATACCAGGCCGGCCGCTCCAAATTCTTTCCATAAGAAGCACAGACATTTTCCCCCATTTTTTTGCGTCTTACGGAGCGAAAAATACGGTACTTTCACATGGTCACAACACTGTTCTGTAGTGAAATTACACAGCAGCATTGTCACTCTGAGGACAGGATAGTCTTAGATGAACATATAGTTTTAGGGGGGCTTTAAAGTGGAACTAAAGTCCACAATATTTACAGATGGTCAGATGCCCACAAAGTCCCTCACTCGCATCTTCTCACCAGCTGCTTCTTGTTACTGATATTCAGCTGTCTTGATTGGTTGGCCGGATGATGCAACTTCTGTGCATGAGCTCTGTGCCAGGAATCTAAATCGAGAGGTTAATGCACTGTACATTTTAATGAAGACAGCGAGCAGGCAGGCACATTTATTTTATTGCAGAAGAGCCATTGCAAGCCTGCCTGCTTGCGTTTTTTTAAAATTAGACTTTAGTTCTACTTTTAGTAAGAGACAAACAAATTAAAGCTAAACTAAACTCTACAAAATATTCACCTCCACCTTCCAGAGGTGCGATCTTCTTCCTGTCTACTTCCAGGTCCTAGGTTTTTGGCCTCTTGGATGTAAGGCTTGGATGTAGCTGCTCGGCCATGGAAACCCATTTCATGAAGCTGTCTATACACTGTTGTGCTAATCTGAAGGCCACACGAAGTTTGGAAGTCTTTAGCTATTGACTCTGCAGACAGTTGGCGACTTCTGCGCACTCTGCGCTTCAGCATGCGCTGACCCTGCTCTGTCATTTTACATGGCCTACCACTTCGTGGCTAAGTTTCTGTTGTTCCCAGTTGCTTCCACTTTGTTATAATACCACTAACAGTTGACCATGGAATATTTTGTTGATTTTGTATCACGGTACCACACTTGAATTCACTGAGCTCCTGAAAGCGGCACATTCTTTCACAAATGTTTGTAGAAGCAGTCTCCATGCCTAGGTGCTTGATTTTATACACCTGTGGCCATGGAGGTGATTGGAATGCCTGAATCCAATAATTTGGAGGGGTGTCCAATACTTTTGGCAAATATATATATATATATATATATATATATATATATATATATATATATATACAGTTGTGTTCAAAATAATAGCAGTCAGACATCACTAACCTGATCAATCACTGTTTTTGGTAAAAATGATATTTCTACATGGCAAACAATTTACTAGCAAGTATAGTAGAGTAATAGAAATCCAACGAACCCCAACAATCATGACATGCATGCTGCTGATTCTGTGTAATTGAATCACTAATTGAAAGGGGCATGTTCAAAATAATAGCAGTGTGGAGTTCTATTAGTGAGGTCATTAATTCTTTGAAAAACAGGTGGCAATTATTGCCCTTATTTAAGGAAGGAAGGCAGCAAATATTGTACATGCTGGTTACAGTGCATTTCTCTCTGAAATTCTGAGGAAAATGGGTCGTTCCAGACATTGTTCAGAAGAACAGTGTACCTTAATTAAAAAGTTTATTGGAGAGGGGAAAACATATAAAGAAGTGCAGAAAATGATAGGCTGCTCAGCTAAAATGATCGCAAATGCTTTAAAAAGGCAAACAAACCTGAAAGACGTGGAAGAAAGCGAAAAACCTACCATTCGAATGGATAGAAGAATAGCCAAAATGGCAAGGACTCAGCCAACAATCAGCTCCAGGAAGATCAAAGAAGGTCTAAAGTTACCTGTGAGTACTGTTACAATTAGAAGACGCCTATATGAAGCCAAGCTATCTGCAAGAAGCCCCCACAAAGTCCCACTGTAGAAAAAAAGACGTGCTGAAGAGGTTACAATTTGCTAAACAGCACATTGATTGGCCTAAAGAGAAATGCTGCAACATTTTGTGGACTGATGAAAGTAAGATTGTTCTTTTTGGGTCTAGTGGCCGGAGACAGTTTGTCAGACGACCCCCCAAACACTGAATTCAAGCCACAGTACACTGTGAAGACAGTGAAGCATGGTTGCGCAAGCATCATGATATGGGGATATTTCTCATACTACGGTGTTGGGCCTATTTATCGCATACCAGGGATCATGGATCAGTTTGAATACATCAGAATACTTGAAGAGGTCATGCTGCCTTATGCTGAAGAGGAAATGCCCTTGTAATGGGTGTTCCAACAAGACAACGACCCCAAACACACCAGTAAACATGTAACATCTTGTTTCCAGACCAACAAGATTGACGTTATGGAGTGGCCAGCCCAATCCCCGGATCTTAATCCAATAGAAAACTTGTGGGGTGACATCAAAAATGCAGTTTCTGAGGCAAAACCAAGAAATAGAGAAGAACTGTGGAATGTAGTCCAATCATCCTGGGCTGGAATACCTGTTCACAGGTGCCAGAAGTTGGTTGACTCCAAGCAACACAGATGTACAGCAGTTCTCAGAAACAGTGCTTATGCAACCAAATATTAATTGATTCAAAGGAAAGCAAAATCTTCAAACATTTTTCAGTTTATATAGTGAATGTTTGAGTTTGTAAAGAAGAATACAAACACTGCTATTTTTTTGAACAGTCTAATATTCACTTTTCTTCAATTTTTTTAGAGGAACAACACAAATTTGATATATTTTTCTTCATGTTTTGATTTGGAATAGAATGTGTAGTGTTCCCAATGCATTTGTGTGTATGGAAATAAAAGCTATTAGAAGGATTTTGAGCTTTATTCACTTTTTTCAACACACTGCTATTATTTTGAACACAACTGTATATATACATAAATATAACATATATTTTAAATTTATCACAAGGATTTATAGGTGCATGAGTGTTTAAAAAGTCCTATTTTCTATTAGGAGCTACTATACTGTTCCGTAGAAAAATGATGCTGGTATATTATATTTCACGCTGCTTTAGCAGGTTTTAATGGAATACAAATAATTATACAGTATATAAGTGTTTGGTAGACAATGCGGTTTCCCTCTAGACGCTATCCATGTTATTTTTGTTGATTTTGAGCCTGCCTTGAAAAGCGTTGAAGACAGAGGTGTAGCTAAAGCCCTCTATCAAAACTTCACAAAAGATTAGATTAGTTCTGGCAGGGTACCTTCCTCGGCATACATGTTAAGAAGGTTGTCTGACAAGCAGGAATGTTCTTTCCAAAGAGCATTAGGAGAAGAATTCCACCACTTATCATGGAAGGATTGAGGTAATGTGATACCGCCCTTGCTTGCAGGAGGATGTGGCAGTCTTATGGACGTTTGCCACTCAAGACCTTCAATAAGCGCTATGCTGTGGCTGCCAGGACATGCCCAGAATGGAATGGAACGCTTGTGTTTGTGGAAGAATCACACATAGTAGCTTTGGTTTTAGCTCTCTTTTCAGACAAGACTTTGTTGATTTTGTGTTTGTTGTTTTTGAAGGGGATTAAGGAGGCCACATACAGGCAGATCTCTAAAATCAAGTGGCAGGAAAAGCTCAGCCCTATACTTACTATGGCTCAGCAGATGTACAGACGAAGCACGTATGGCAAAGGCTTATTCCTTTCTGAAAAGAAAAGGAAATGATCAGGGGATCCCTTGCAGAGATTTTCCAACATTTCAATACTTTTGACCCTCCACGGCATCACCTTTATTGTTGTTCTCAAAGGGAAACCCTACAGAAATGATCAGATTTTATAAGCTTTTGCAAAAGAGTTTTTAAAATGCGTCCAAGCCCAAGAGCAGAAATATACCATGCTACGGCATACCAGTCCTTAAATGTGGTGGCTGCATTTTAAGGCTCTCAAGATTCTGTGGTGTCTGCATAGACTGTGAGAAGTGAGTCATGCAGATAGTAGAGGGAAAGCAGAGGAGACAAACATCACACTCTTTGTATTCAGGCAAGTATACACTATAGAAGGATATGTTCTGTTCATTTTTCATTTCCGAGGCTTACAACCACTTTAAGCCTAACTCTAGGCAAAACAATTTTAGATGTTGATCTCATTCTGACTTTACAGCTGGCTCTGTCCTAAACAGGTTGATTTTCCCTTACATTCAAATATATAAGATGTCATCAGGATAAGAAGTGAACAAAGCAGAGACAGCAATAAAAACCTGTAGCACCCACCCCGAAGGAGCCGCTGTTGATTGAGTTCTTCTCCCCTTCTCCAGCTGATCCAAAACTCATTGACACACCTTGTAACCTACAAAATAGAGGCTTTTTAAAAAGACAAAAGACCTATGGAAAATACTGGTTAGAGCAATAAAAACGATATATCATAAGCCAATAACTGAGGATAGTGAACAAAATGGCAGAATATACTGTATACATAGACAAACGTGTGTATTAACAAGTTTGCAATATAATTAACACAACTACACAATTTACCCCAAGGTCTGTCTAATTTGAACCAAAGTCCCTGGCTAACCTGTTGAATCTCATCCTGCCAGCATTGGGTGGCGCACACTTTAATAGTCTTTTGTAATCCTGACAGATTCTGGACTGCTCTAAAAAGAAAGAGGTCCAAGGTAATTTAAAAGGGCAGTATAATCCCATAAAACAGGTAAGCTGTGAAACTCTGTGAAAGGCTTCTCATCACTATAGTACAGATACAAAAACAAATTGAAGCTGTATTCCACTTAACGCTTTATAAGCAGTTACAGCAAACAGTTTTTTCCCTTGTGGGATAGTTTTTACATAAATAAAAACTGATCCATGTAA